GGTTCACAGAAGTCTAATGAACATTGCAGGGCTTAGCTTGCAGCTTCATTGCTGTTTTTCCCTCACTTCCCCTTATCGGTGACAAGTGTGGTCGTCAATCAGAGCGTGTATTCCCATTAAGTCTTAGTCTTGGAAGAGGGTTTACACTGAGGGGACCCGACCACTTGCCTTGATGTCTCCTGAGAACATGATGTATCTTTTGATGAGCATATTTTCACCAAAAATTTAATTAAAGTAAAAAAATGTATAGCAGAAGAAACTTTTATTCCAAATCTGCCAAATATGTCCTACCTCTGTTACCTTGGATGAATCTGCATTTCAAGTTTTTGCTAAGATGGCTAATAGCTTAGACTGAGTTCTCTCACCAACCAAAATAATCCTTGACAACAACAACAACAAAAAATCAAGGAAGTAACAAAAATTACTCCAAAAATGAGAAACTCAAGAGAGAAGGAAGATAGTTATGAGCTGAAATGTGATGTGAAGCAGAAGGTAGGTTGGGATTTGGTTTAGGGGACAGGTCTATTGCTTCTCTGTGAGAGGATGTGTTGGGGAAAAGCGGAATCAAGTTGCTCTTGTCTTTTCCCTGCTTTTGCATTATGGAAATTACAGTCTTCCCCTTGCACCAGAAATGGTTGAGAGGGGATTAAGAATCTACACAAAAGTCCTTTGAAGGATAAGGTTAGACTAAATTGATGGTGAGTAATTAATCTAAGTCATTCACTTCGCCAAGTCTCCTACACCAAATTGTAGGTAAGGGGTATTGTACCACTCTATAAAATCGAGAGTTTTCCCATTTCAATCTGCTGGAAAATAAGGGGGAAATCATTTCTACAGAATCAATGAGATGGTGGAACAACAAAGGGTTCTAGTAGATTGTTGTTGTTGTCATTTAAGTGTCATTGAGTCAGTTCCAACTCATAATGACCTTGAAGAGGGTTCCTGAGGTGCAGCTGGTGAGTTTGAATCGCTGACCTTGAGGTTCAAAATGACCTTGTGGTTAAGTACTTATCTTACAGCATCACACCAGGGCTCCTCTAGAAGACAGAAAGTTGAAAATACTTGCCATGGGAAAAAGAGAGAGGGAAGGAGGAAGAGCGGGAAGGAGGTACCAAAAGAGGGAAAGAAGGAAAAAAATAGTAAGGAGTCACAGAGGTTGAACAGCCAAAGTCATGAAAGTGGAGTGGTGCTAATCTGTGCAGTTGTATACTTCCTGCGGAAATATTTAACAGTCTGAGTTGGAATCAAGTAGAAAACAAGTGGTGGACAGAGTAAAAACTTCAGTATTAACATGTGAGTGAAAATTGAAAGACATTAGCCAGGAAAGTTGAGGTTACTGAAAAGGAAAAAATTGGAATGATTGATCATATGATCAAAACAGGATATGAAATGAAGAAGATATGATGTGTAAGCTTCAAGGGAAACGATAATCAAGTCCACAGGCTAGAAGCTTCTATGACACTGAAGAAAAAAGTGACATAGGAAAAAAAAAAAAAAAGTGAATTCTTCTCCAATTAATCCATAAATCTGTCTTTTAAAATTTTAAATAATGGAGTTAAAATAATACCTAGAAGAATAAAATGAGTTATGCTTCCAGTAAGGATATGGGAAAACTTAGTTGTCCCATGATAATAAGAAGCGATGAATAAACTAAGAGAGATAGGAGGAGGAGGAGGCAAATGCCATATGCAGGGCAACAATTCTGAGCTAGTGAAAAGCAAGCTGCAGAAAGGATGAAAAGTCAAATTCGTATCTGAAAGAACTTCAAAAATGGAGCTAAGTCCATCTTTCGCACGTTTCATCACCTATGAGAGTTCTCTTAAGTACCGTGGGAAGGCAAAAACTGACCTGGTCAGAGAAAGATACCCTTGATGTTAGCCTTATATGAGAGAACTTAAAAATATTAGTGCAAAATTCCATTATCTTTCTATTTCATTTTCCCACTAACTTTTTGACTTCCCCTTGTGTTAACTATGCTAAATAATCTAAAGAAATTAGAGAAAGTATGTATAAAATAGGTGGAAACTATATTTTCATAAAGTGGTAGCAATTTCTTTTTATCTTTCTGATTTTCTTAGTCAGCCAATTCAAGTTTTAAAAATAGGCATTTATGGATTAATTGGAACAGAATTAACATTATTAAAAATGAAGTAGAAATTTTAATATTAAGAAAACAAAAAAAAAAACAAATCTGAGGAGAGAAGACATGGATTCTCAGCATGACAGCATGAAGATATTCACATACATTGTCTCCAGTGAAACTGGTGAAAATTATTAAAGAAACAGAATCTAAATTTCTGGAAATGGTCTTAAGAAAATACAGAAAATGAAGAAACATTTATTCAAGTATATCTACTCTCATTGAGTAAAAATACTGAGTCTGCAGTATTCATCTGAGCTCTGTCCCCTTCTTAACTCAGCAAGATGGAAACTCTGATACACACTGGAGCATCCAAGAACACAGGGGGTCCTTTCCCAGCTCCCAAATCAGATGATATGCTCTTCCCATGAGGAGCATAACATCATTATTTCTCATCCTGTCACCAGTAAG